CCTCCGTAACATCTAACAAAAGGATGAAATTGAACGACTTTTCATGATTAGAGCAGTGCCATAGAATTTCAACGAGGTATCGACATCCACTGTTATTCCTATGAACGTAGCTATTGCTGAGCCGATCGTATCTTTTCGAGGGCGCTTGACGTTCGGGAATCATATTCCCCACAGGAAGATCAAAATTGGAATCAAATTGTTCAAATCGTGCGTTAACGGTGGATACATCTACCTAACTGGGATTTATTCTGGAAAAGTTAATGACATTGAAGGGAGTGTCGCGAAAAACGTGGTCATGCGTTCGATGTATGATTTGTTGTATTCTGACCGAAGAGTTTCCTGTGACGATTGGTACTTTTCAGTCGGTCTAATTCGAAAATTTTTGGAGAGAAAAGCGGACTTCGTGGGAACTCTTTGCGAGCAGAGGAAAGGAGCTTCACCCTTCCTTCTTTATCCTCTCTATAGCAGAAACCATCAACATCGATGCTGCATGGGGTCAGCTATTGCTGCTTTGTGGCTCTCTTAGCGATAAAAGTTTTTGAATAGGAACATGTCAAAGTAAATATTTTTTACAATGAGCTTGCCTCATTTGGATTTTGCCGTTCTCCATGACCTTCACTGCGGCGATCCACCAAAAAAACCGACTGTCCCTTTTTGTTGATCAGCTTATCGCACACTTTATCGTATCGTACTTTTCATTTCCGGCCTCTTTGCCTTCGGATTGACAGACTTGGTGGCTTCTAATATTTCCTGTAGGAAGCTGAGTCTTGTAAAGCTCTACCTTTCGAGAGAGCTTATGTTTTTCTTCAAATTTACCTCAGATAATGACTCAACTCCGAACCCAAACAAGCCAGAACGATTCTTCCTTGTTTCTCTTGGAAATGGCTCAGAGTGTCCTCTATTTGGAGTTTCTTCTACCGCTTTATGCGGCTACCACTACCAAGCCCTCCGCTCCAATCATTCTCTAAATTACAGGAGATACTTGAGTGCTACGTTTGCTAAAGGGACCTGTGCTGCGGCGGATCCATATCTTCGCTAGGCGGAACTTTTAAATCCTTGATAGTTATAAAGCATACAGTCGATTTATGTATGCCTCCCTTCACTACTACGGTATATCTTTTCGATCTCCCCTTCTGCGAAAGACATGGGGGCGGTTGATCGTGAGCTGCAGCCAGGTTTCCATACTCTCTCCTTCTTCGTCTCTGACCAGGAAATTCAGTTGATCAAAGCGGCCAGAGGAAAAGTCTTCTTCTTCGAAAAGCACGGAGTGAAAGTAGCGTCAGCGTCTGCGTCAAAGAATAGCAACAGTGTAAGGCCTCGAGAAAGATCTCCTATTCTCCTGCCTGCTCATTCTGGACCCATTCGTTTACTACCATTACTACTATTCAGATCACAGGGTATTGTTGGGCAATTCCCTTTGAGAATTGACTTAAACATCGATAAAAGTGGTATAGCATTACTTTTTTGCCAACTGACGTGGTTGGAGGGAACACAGCTGTTGTTGCAGTACTTCTTTTCTGTGCCTATCCTTCATTCCGATCCTATTGCTAATTGGAACAGAGTTGTCGTGCCGTTTGGACGACTTAAAGGACGGCCTGGCGTGGCGCGCCCGTAGTCCCGCCAGGAAGGCACCGTACGTTGCAGAGAGCTAGAGTTGGCCACGTGGCAGCGGACTCTAGCCAGCGGCGATTGCGTCATCATTCGTCGCCGTCGTCAACGCCGTAGCCGCCTGCCTTCACCATCTCCAGTGTCGTCAACATCATCGACACAGCTTCCGATGGGTTCATAGCAACACACTATTGCCATCTTCAAGTGGTGCCACTGCTGCGCAGTATGGAGCAAGATAGAAACACCCGTATAGATGGTCCGCAGCAACCAGGGACCTTGGAGCCGCACCGCCGAAAGGAGGTGGGGTGACTTGGATGGGCCGGATGAGGATGAGCTTAGATCGTACCCAGACCGTAGGTTAAGTGTGGTTATATTTGTATATATTTTCATATCCTTTTCATAGTGCTTTTCATATAGTAATTCCTTTTCACTTATTAGTACTTATAATCGTTCTTTTCATACCATACGTAGTTTACTATGAATAGTGTATTTTACAATGTGCGCTGGTAATACGTAGAATGTCAGTAACATCCGTTTATATCGCAGGCATTCTCAGACGCTGGGATGTCCTACGTAGGTCATGGTAAGACCGTGCGCCCAGCGCCCGAGGGAGCTCTACGCTGGGTTAGCAACCCCCGTAGCGTACTGCGGCGGTAGTACCAGCCCGTAGGAGCTCGCATGGCAGACTGGGGCAAACTCACGCCTACCATGTCCGTATGGCAGTTGAATACGACCATGGCGAGCGGGCAGAGGATGCCGGTCACCTAGCTCACACCGCCGCGGACGCCCTGTCGAGCAACCACAGATGCGGATCGGCCTCAGAGGGACGTCACCGACGCGCGACAAGAGCCCTTAAGGGCTCCATAGTTGCTGTGGCCGTGAAATTTCGTTCGTGCTTCTCCATTCTAAGTTTGACACCCTCCTAAACGTCTGTGTTTTCGTTTTTTCAACGTGGCTTCTGAAGTCAAGATCTTATGTGTCCTGCGCCTCTTCAATTTAGCGACTTCTCGGAACTTTCCAGTAAATAATCCAATAGTCAAAACCCCAGCCACCTCCGGAGTCGACCTTGCTTTATGGTTAATTTGAGAGTTTGCACGTGTTTTTCGTGATGTCTCCGTCAGCCAGATTTCAGGCTAAGCCTGACGACCGCACCTGCAGTTCATTATGCAGTTTCCGTTTGCAAAGGTTCGCCCCTCTGAGGAACTCACTGCTTCTCCTTTTGTAGAAATGGGCCTACTCCTTCAATCACTCAGCTGCCCTCCCCAATCCTGTTTTTCAGTCAATCGCCGCATTAGCACCGAAATAGCTAAGAAGAACTTTACTTTTGGGCCTGACAGTGAACTCTTCATTGTCGGTCTGGCCCAAAATTAGACATTCAGAAAACATGTCGACCGCGCCATCGATTGAGCTCACTGGCAAATAGAAGCTAATTTAGTCTCAGTCGTCTATTACGATCTCGTTCACAACAGCTCAATGATAGGTTTAGGAGAAACCGGAATTCTTGTCGTCCTTTCATTCTGTGTGATCGCTAAAGTCTTCTCGCTATCAGCCGCTATTTGCATCTTCGTCGTGCTTGCTGGTTTACTAATTCGGTAATTTTCGAGGAATTTCTTATGGTCACTTTTGCCGATGTCGAATATTATACTATAGAGTTTCACAAAATGTCCCCCTGAGCTGCAAGAACCAGCTTGCATACCCACATGTCCTGTATACGGGATCTTAAGAAATGTCGCTCACATTCAAGCACCGCAAAAACAACGATTTCTATGTTATACTTCCCAGAGAAGGCAACCAGGAAATCTCCTTTTACTGTTTCTTAAGGCCTCTTCTTTGAGAAATGGACAGTTTTTTGGATTGTTTACTCTACAGCCATTAAATTGATTGAAATTCATTATCATTACACTTCAGAAAAGTATTTTTTGAAGTCATAGGCCATTAAATACCTCAGAAATCACAGGAAAAGCATCGGAATCAACTGAATCCAATTACCCACAAGGATGGCGAGTTATGAACAAAACCTCGTCCTTGGATGGAGCTCATACCCAAATTTGTGCTTTGTGTGCACCAAGCTATTTATCCCTTTCACTACCGAGATCCCACTTACCATCGTCCTCTTCGTATTCACTGCGATATCTATTTGCTCGACCTCATGAATTGAGATAGTACCTCTAGGAAAAATAAAATAAATAGGTTCTTCACGATAATGATAAAACTTCCAAAAGTTGAAAATACTACAGGATTTTATTTCTTGGTTGGTAAAATAACACGCTGTTGCGCTTGCACGTCAGCAACGTTGAACTTTCAGGCAATTAGCCGAGGGTAAAACTTACTGGGTGAAACGAGGCATTCCTGGCCCAAAGCCGAGTATTTTTACCGGGAACACCATCGATTATGAAGACGGATTGCATAAACTGGATGAGAAGTGGATCGCAGAATATGGAAATACCTATGGGTAAATTACCTTCGCTAATTTATGGAAAATGATGTTCTTGTCATGTGGATATGCAAATAAAACGGGATTCTTTATACTGTCTCTTCCCAGAAAAATGACGAAAGCAAGGAAGCTCAAGAGAGCATGCAATTCCCTCGCGACACCTGGGAATAGCTTCAGAGTGAAATTTCGACTTTCAAATTTTTCCAAGATACCAACAATGTCGATGTTCACCTAAATAGTCGTTGTTCACTTAAATAATCACCATGTTAAGGTGATTATAATAGTTCCGATTCCGAGTAGCCCTAACAATACTTCAAACTACTTCCACCCTTTCTTTCTTAGCCCTCTGTTAAATGTGAGGTAAATCTCAAGAGTCGATTTTCCCGTTATGGCGTAAGAGCGATGCATGATGATCCTATTATAAAGAAAATTTTGAAAGGAAAAACGATAAGTCTGAGGGTACAAGCACAACTTTTGGTGTTTGACTGTAACCGTCTTTGGGGCTTGACTAAAAGAATTATTTCTTCTTGTTACTCTTCCAACACTAAGGAATCGTTACTACAGCATGTTCCTCATGTCTTCGCCAGAGCTGGTTTCTTCTGACCTTGACATCCTAAGACAAGTGCTTGTCAAAAATTTTGACTGCTTCATGGATAGGACTGTGAGTTGATAGGATCTTTTACAGAGTTATAATACTTTAGAGGTTTTGTATGCTCAATAAAGTGCCAGATGCCTTACCACCATAGCCCGTGCTCCGAAAATGTTCTGTTCAGAATCTCCTGAACGTTGATCCTTCCGATCAGACTTCACTTCTAGCTACTTCGCTGGTATCCTTGAAGGGACAACAATGGTTCAGAGTGCGCAGTCAAGTGGCACCCGCGTTCTCCACAGGGAAAATCAGATTGGTGTGGTTTAGGATTAAAGTAAGTGAGACGAGCGAGCAAATGCATTCTTTCAGATGGTGCCCATATTCAACGAATGTTCGAAGATCTGTACTGCAATCATTGATCAATACGCACTAGATGGCAGACCAGCACCTATAAAAGAGTAATTGCTAAAAATGTCTATTTTGCCGTGTTGTCTTCCGGTTTCCATCTAATTAGATTAGATGGAATTTGAGCTACAACAATCATCAATGACTAATGGTTTTAAAGCGAACTCGTGATATTACCGTAATTGTTGTTGATTTCAGTATCATTACTCGCCTAACGCTTGACATGACGGCGAAATGTGCTTTCGGGTACGATTTTGATGTACAACACAATTTAACGTCACCTTTCTTGGAATTCGCTCGAAAATTCTCTGAGGTTGATCTCCGCTCTCCAGAAGTCGCTCTTATCAGTGAGTACACCCGAAATGAAACTCCATTACAATACCTTCACGTTGCCTTTCTGCTTTTCTTGGCCGTTTCACGTTTTCCTTGAAGGTCTTCAAACATTTACTGCTTGTCTTCCACATCACTAGTTTTATATTTCAAGTCTTGTTACTCTTACTACTATAGTTCGAAAGGAAAATTACTTTGGCTGAAAAGGGAATCATAGTTTTTGATTGACGAAATTGAACCGTTCACCGTAGTATTTTTGCTTGTCTTTCCCCTGCATAGCGGCACAGTTCACGATAGTTTTAAGGTACCCCTTTTTGTCGGAAGTATAGGTCGGGAATCGTTCATTGTAGTGAAGAAAGCGAGAATTCGCCGATTCGCCGATTCTGAGAAAAATAAGTCTTCTCAATAGAGGTTGGACGAGATTACCATAACGGGAATAACATGGAAGGGGTATTCGGACGTGATTACGGTTGTTGCAATTGCGCAAAGAGCTGGCTACATCAAGCCAGAACTGTACAGAGCTGCCTCTCACTGCCGCTATCGCTATGGGTCATGACGGGTGTGGTGCGATTCACGCGCCAATATAATGAGGTCATCGGACAAAACCCGCTAAAACATCATTCCTACCATCATAACGGAAGTTGTAAGAACTTATAAGTAGAATGAGTAAAGAATTGACCAACTATGCACGTTTACAGAAGGATTGCGTTCTCTAGAATCAAAAAATTTGAAGGTATTCTTATTTTGAACGTTTGACGAGTAAATTGTTGACCTATGAGGTGAATTCTCAATCTCGAAGGGGCTTTTTTGCTGTAGTAATGAGATTTGCTCTATTCATGGTGAAGCCGTGGACTACTGCAAGATTATTTGGTCCATATCAACAGAAAGGTACTGAAATGATGCTGCGTGCGCGAAGAGCCTAATGGGGTCACGCGTGATTCGCGCGCCCCCCGGGTCATGACAAGTTGTTTGTACTTCCTACACGGGTTCCTTTGTGACCTGTGCAATCTCTACATCTCGGTGAAACTCATCCGAGCATACACCCGAGCGAATACTTGAGCCTTTATAACGCCCTAACTGGGCCGTTTTCCGACATGATACCGCCAGATATGGTATATCAATCAAATTCATCCTATGGGGGAATCCCAGAAACCATTTTATCGTGAAGTGTGCCTTTAAGCAAAATTAGCCATTTTATCCGAAACGCTGGTACAGTACCGTTTCTGATGGATGGGTTAGACAGATAAGTGACGATGAAGTTGTTTATGTACCTCGGATTCAACTATAACTTCCTTCCTCATGAGGCAGTAACTACCTCTCTCACTAAATAACGTTTCTATATGTTTTGCACGACTCAATTTTATAACTTACGCATTCGGCTTTCTAAAACCGTATAGTTGGAATTGAAATATCGAAACCAACCTAGTTCATTTGCTAAGTTTGTTTTTCTCTGATCTGTTGTGAACTCCTGCCCTATAAATAGGCAACTTTGGGGGAATTGTTTTTACGTTAAAAAATCGAGTTCGCGTGAACTTCAAAGAGAAATTAATGACTTCCCGCACAGGTTTAGAATTCTTGGAGTCAGTTTCCAGCCTCGTTGTGCTCTGAACATCTGCTACTTGATGTTATTTTCCGACGTATTCACAAAATCCATTGGTTTTAGACCAAGTCTAATTTCAGTCTTGTTTCCTAACATCTGTGCAGCATTCCAAAGGATCACTGGTATTTCCATTCTCAATCATGCCGCTAACAAATTCTTCCTCGATGTATTGGAAAGGCTGTTCGACGACAGGAAGAAAGGAAATCAGTTGGTATGATGGCGAGTTAGCTGTACAGCTTCACTATTTGCTAAGCCTCACTTTGTCTATTTTTCAGAAGTACAACGACTTCTTCCAAATCCTGTTGAACTCACTTGTTGAGGATAACCATAACAAGCCAAATGAGGACGAAACTGAGTCTGAGCTGCCAAACTCTGCTAGGTGTCTCAGTAAAGGCGACATTCTTGGCCAGGTGAGAGCTTTCCATAATACATGAAAATCCAACACAAAAGCAATAATGCAGCATAGTTTTCTCTGCGGCCCAAACAACGCTAATCGCTTGTTCACGTTGCAGTGTAACTCCAAAATACCTCTAGTTCGAACTGGTCGAAATGGGGGTTGTGAGTCAGAATTCTTCTGCCGAATGCGGTCACTATAACTATTTTGGCACTAGGGGTCACACGCCTTTGCTTCGTTTAGACCACATTTCAATAGTTTGTCTTCTTTAGTGATTGGAAACCATCTACGGATATGCCTTACACAATATTGCCATAAATATTTAAGATGAAAACTACAAACAAAGAGCATGAACTGTTACATTGGGCAGAAGGTGAACTCAACAACTCTCTTCACCAAAAAAAACTTGACCTACTTAGTAATTTCAAAAAATAGGAATAAGCGCTGGATGTATTAACAAAAATTCCAAATACTGTATGTTTGCTGGTGGTGCAGGAGAGAAAACGAGAGGAACGAGAAAACGAGTTACCAAAGAGATGACTCGCTATTATTATAATCTGCAAGCTACAAATAGCACCTATCCCCCATGAACAGAACCGTAAGAAGCATGTCAAGGATTTCCATGTGTAAATATGTGGTCCTACTAAGGTCCTGCTCTTTCTTTCTTCAAACTCTTCCGTGGAAAAAGCAACACTCATAATGCTTCTCATGCTTCTCAATATTATCAAGTTGTAAACTATCAAAGAGTATCACCCTTCAGATTCAGCATTACCTTTACTGAAGCTTCGTGTAGCTATCGGTTTTTGAAAACGTATGCATAGGATAGCTTGAGGGTCCTCAATTATGCAGAACGGTTTCGATTTTACTGCTACATTTATTAGCTATGAAGCCCTCAACTCTGACTTTTGCATTCTGGGATTCTGTGAGGTTCTACAAGGGTGTTTTGTTGCAGCCGCTCATTGCAATAGATATACAATAATAGGTGAAGACATTCTTGATCATACCTCAAGAAACAACACTTCAGATTGCTTGAAGAAGGCGACGATTAGCTTGAGAGCTGACCTACCAATCCCTTTAGAAGCCTGAGATCGACATTGATTGATTGGGAACCGTTCTCGAACTGATCCTTGCTCCAGCCCTGATTATATAATACAACTGGGCTAAGGTGGTTCACATACCGTAATTGCAGTGGCTCATGGTAAAGGCAATCTGAATACCGTACTGCTTCAGACGTGGTATCTCCGTTGACAAGGTGAGAACGTTAGTACAGCGATGGCTGTGGTGACTGTTGGGTACATCTCGTAGTTGATGGTGAAACAAGTCGGATGTGCTGGTTCCATGACATAGAACTTCTCTTTTAATGGAACGATATACCAACGTGCTGTGGCCTTCATCCTTCTTGCAATGCTAATGTATACATGCGACTTGGAAAATCCTAGAACACTCAACAACACCGAGAAAGGAGGTACCGCAAAATCGTTGGGTAGCCACAACTTATTTTGCAGAAAATTTGATAATACACCTTTCAGGCCTTATGTTCACTCTTATTTTGAGCAACTATAGAACTTCCCATTGCAATACTATAAGTTGGAAATACTTTACAAAACGATAAAAAAACGATAACGACTAGTGCCGTATAATGAGAAGTTCACACTATTAAATTTTCAAAGCCTCTAACACTGCCTTCTATCGGGCCCGACTTCATGCTGTCGCTATAGAAAGATGGCCTCTGAAAAAGAAATGTTGTATTCGACAAATTCGATGAGATCATCTCCTCACTGGGATGTTCAATGATGCCAAACTGCTCAAAAACATCGTTAAGGCATTCATGTTTGTTCTGGCTGGGTTTGAGACCACTCCGGCAGCACTTCATCTCACCGTCTACATGCTTGCTGTTCACCGAGTTTTTCAAAAACGGTGTCGCGAGGAAATAGAGCGGGTTTGTGGAAAGAAGGTTCGACAGCTAATCTTATTCTCGAATATGCAAGCAGGCTATACTCGAGACTTATCACCGGGTTTCAGGATGATATTTCTTATGAGATGCTGAGCGAAATGAAATATATGGAGCAGTGCATATCGGAAACACTACGCATGTATCCACCAGTTGTCAGGTGAGTGTTTCCTAGCTCAAATTTGCGTACGTTGTGTAGCTGGTAGGCGAATAATAGCGTACAGCGTTTGTAAGCTTCTCAATCATAAATGCTATCTTTGCAAATAGCATATTGAATTCGTGCAAATTTCTAGGACGAACCGTTTATGCACCAAAAACGTCACAGTGAAAGGAATCGAGATGAAGGAAGGTTGTGTGTTTACAATCCCTATAAGAGCGATTCACTACAACGAAGACTTCTATCCATCCCCGAACGACTTCGATCCAGAGAGGTTTGGGCTTACACCTTTCTGTGTTTCAAGGTGAAACTGTTGATGCTAAGCTGCACATCTGTAGAGAAGATAAAGAGGAAATCTGAGAAACTCAGGGCTTTCATTTCTAAGGTTGCAAAAAGTCGAGACGACCACACAGGGTGCTTGGAGAAGTCTCTAGACGATGTAGAGTAATGAGCAAGAGCATTGGTGTGTAACAGCCAATTCCATTGGCATTGAATGTGCTTCATTTGAAGTGGCACATCAGGTGGTGCGTCTTGCTTTCTACAAAGTCTTCAGGAACGCCCTTTTCTGGAAATATTAAGCGTTAGTCGACATCGCAACCAATTCTTTCTGAGCCAAACTTTGTCCGACAACGCTCTCTACAGCTCCCTTATGGGCAATCTCTCAAACAATATATCAAAATATTTCAAAGGCGATCTGTGTTTTTGGAGCGCTAGTAGACTGAAATCTGGACACTAACTGGCTTATAAAAGAGGAAATCCTCATTTTTCATCGACCTCAATTTGACGATGTTTAATAAAGTACACATGGATTGGTTAGGAAGAGAAGGACGTGCTTTGAGAGTGAAGGCTTTTTTTTGGGTGAAGAGTAGGACAAAAAATAGCTATAGAGATGCAATAAATACAAAGCAGAATTAGCCTAAGTAGCCCAACATGCACGAGAGCGGTCAGATTACATGAATGTATTAGGGTGGGGGGAGGAAGTTCTGTGCCATCTTTTGATAACAGCTTTTATTATGTAAGGAAGCCCACAGGATTGAATATATCTACCGCCATTGCCGACTATTTTTTTGCCAAGGTTCAGGTAGCTTGTAGATGACGTCATTTCAGAATGCAGGTTGGCGATAGCGAAAATACTACAGCAGCTCTACTCCGATCCTTGAGTGCGAGTCCTGGAGATTTTTTCCCATCTAAGTAACGAGTTAGGTCGGAAACAACCATTAGCCGGGAATGACGGTTTGGGACTGTTCAACCATAATGCACAAGCTATGCCTTCATCTTTCTTACAACGTGGGATGTGGTGTTGTCATGCTGAATTTAGTTTTTTCAACTGACTCTCTCCTTTCCGCTGATCAGAGATTCGTTTCAGACTTCACAGATTCTGCTTGTAGAGGTTTACGAAGGCGGTACTTATCTTGTTGAGCAGACATGCAGTGAGAATCTACAAGAACTTTTTTTCGGCGTTTCGCCTAGACCGGTCAAATGTGCTTCCCTGTGGAGATCGATGTAGTACACCTACCTTTGATTGATAGTGATGGCATGTCTCCTCTGTTTTAATTGAGCACAATCAAACAGGCATACAAGCGACGATCACAATCGACAGGCTTGAGGTAGTGCCGTGAACATCGGTTAAGCTCCTTCTTTAATCGAAGATTGATCAAGCCACTTTCAATAGTGTACCTGTGGGCTCCGGATATGTTAATCATTTCTTTCTAGATTTAACAGTTGAGAGTTTAGATTTCGTTTTAATAAGTGCCGTATCTCGCTCGAGCTAGGTTCATATAGGCATCCCATTCCTATTCAGAACACACACACCTATTCGGAACTTTTGTGCGAGGGACAATCGTACATATCTTGGAACATGGTCTTTATAACTTTGCTCATTTTTGGACCTGCAACTTTCCTAGTAGAGCCGTAGAGGTAGAAGCAATATGTGATATGGCGCAGTTGCTGACGATCTCAGTCAAAGTCGTTACTGGTACTGTAAAATGGGACTACAAAACAGTTGAGTGCTATCGAAGAAACAGCATCATCGTGCCGTTGGGTTGCCATTTTGGGCTGTCAAGCCTGAAGCAAATATTCAATGCTCAAAAAGTAGGGCGGAACTTTTCCTTCACCTTAATATGAGCGGAGTGTCTTCCATCATATCAATATTTCGAAAACGTCAGCCTACTCAAAACGAGTGAAGATAGTCTGGCTCACAAATACGGCTGGAGCATGACATGACAGGCGGGGGTCTTTGAAAAACAGCTTAGTCACTGAGTATCATGAACAAAGGTCTGTAGCAGAGCCAGTGAGAACTCCACTGACCGATACAGTTAATTGCTGTTACAGGTGGTCTAGCTCTAATCGTTCCAATCGAGATCCACTGACATACTTGCCATTCGGTTACGGCCCAAGAAATTGCATTGGAATGCGTGTCGCTCAGATGCAAATGAAGATGGCCTTAGCTCACATACTGAGGACCTTTGAAATGCGACCAGGAGAAAAGATTGTGAGTTGCAAAGTTGTTGGAGAGTATGAAATAATTCTGTAGGGCACTAATCGGTTCGTCTTGCTTGATATTCTGGGACGAGCTGTGGACCATTTAATGAACTTGTGGGATAATTTGAAGACAGTTTCTCATCGCTTACACTGCAACTGCTTAAAGGCACAGTTCACGATATTTTTGAGATTCCCTTTATAAGTCTAGAAGCGGAGTTATTGGTTGAGAATAGCGCATCGATGGCTAAAAGATCCACCGACTCTGAAGATCCTTGAAAATATTGAAAATGGAGGTTGTACGAGATCACCATGACGGAAATTGTATGGGAGGGGTATTCGGACGAGAATTCAGTCGCTGCGATTTAGCGAAGAGCTGAACACATTATGAAAAAACTGTTTAAAACTGCCTTTCGTCATGGGTGACGATTAGTTGTTTGAATTCCGACATGGATTTCCCTTGTGAATGATGCAGACTCTACAACGCCTTCAAAGTTCGAACTTATTCGTATGTGGCACACAGCTGATACAACATTTGAGCCTTTATTACGCCCTATCTAGGGTGTTTCCCGACCCGGCACATATGGTGTACGAGGGAGCCACAGTTTAATACGGAGGAGAGGGGGGGGGGTTGGGAAAACTCAGAAGCCATTCTTATCGTGACTTGCGCCTTTAATATAATTTTGGTCAGGTTGTCGTAAAGCACTCAGCAGCTGCTCAGCCAGACGTTCGTCAAATTGTTGTTAGGTGGTTGTTCCTTTGATGGTTTCTTTCAGGACTTACCATTGCAAATTGATTCTGTTGGAAGCATGCGTACCGTTGAAGATTTGAGTGTGATTTTCACGAAGCTTTAGCAATCTACATACTGATAACTGCAATTGTGTCGAATGCGTATTGTTTTTTTCAAGTCTTACAATTGACATAAGTCCGAAGGCTTTAGACATTCGGCGTGAACGCAGTGCCTGGACACTCAGCTCAGCTTTTATCTTCTGGTATTGCATTAGGCATTCTAGATCATCTTTCAATTGTATGACCGCCTTACACTTTTGTGTTGCCACCGGTTCCTCTGCAAAAATTGTTCGAGCTTTTCAGTCTGACCTCCCAGTAATTCTTACCTCAGAAGACTTGAAACACATCTAACTGGAAGTTCTTCACACTTCCACTCCTTGCTGTGTAGCTTTTGCCACTTGTCACACTCCCATATTTCACTGGCAACAGAAATTCCATTTGATGCTACACTCTTGTGCTTGATTATGCTGAATAGTTAATTCTTCCTATTGCATGTAAGTTATGTTTTCTTAAAGCGGTTTTCCATCTTGAAACCAACTACCCAGAAGAGAAAAGCAATGATATTACCTTCAATAATGGAATGAAAAGCTGCTGTTGAATAAAAAGTAAGATATTTCTAGTAAGGTATTTAGTTGGTCTGGTTTTCTTCGTTGTATTGTACAACATCACGTAATTTCACTGCGTCCGAAAATAAGTAGTTAAATAGACCATTAAATACATATAGTATCACTGAATGAGACAGAAGAAAGCTTTCAGATACACGATCAGGTCAAAGTGCAGCAGAGTGCAGCCAAGTATTGAAAATGTTTTTTTTTCGAGCGACCCAAAAAGCTGTTCAAGAATATTTTTTTGTTCTGTGTTCATTTCATGCAACACTTCAAGTCAATGTTAATAATGAAGGTTTTAATAAGCAGTAGCGCTCAAAAGAATACGGCGAAACACGTAATCGTTATACAGGGTGGGCCAAAATTATGATTACAGCGCGCGCTGACGTTCATTGCAAATTTTTTCTGAGTACATAACAATTCATTGAATTTCTTCCATTTCCCAAAGTAGCTTACGTTATTACCTTTCTAATGATACTAAACTTTTGGTAGATTTTTAACATAATATAAGCGTAACTAGTCCGTGAGTTAAACGTCGCTTTGCATTTACAAACACTTTTGGCACGGTGCATCTACAGACGAACTAGCGAAACAAGGCAGGTATTGCATTCAACCATAAGACGCTCTCGAGAGTTGGGAACAATTGCAGATAGGAGTGGTGAACCTAGGAGAGCTGTGTTGTATTTAGGGGAAGTGTTAAGGAAGCAGGGCAAAGGTCTACGTAGGAGCAAAATTCATTCTGAGTCCAAAAAGGCTAAATGAATGGATATGTCACGGAATTTTCAGCGTGAAATCGTGAAGCATCACCTGCACAACGAGACCCTTACACGATCAGAAAGTGATTTCCCCAGAGAGCAGGTTAAAGAGAAGAGAAAGGTTGGCTAACAAAAGCTGCCTGTCGCATCCGAAAAAATTGTCCTACGGAATTCCTGTGCACCGACGAAAAGAGATTCACAGTGAAATAGGTGCTCAGTAAGTAGAGCGATAACATTTATATGAAGCTTAAAGAAACGGAAGTGATACAGCGCCTGGCTCACTAACTTTCTGTGATGGCCTGTGCTAGCGTCACCGCCGAGGCAAAGACACCAATTATTTTTGTAAATTATGGAGTGAAAGTCGGTTTGGAGGCCCGTTTGATCTCTTCGAGCGCAACAGGACACTTTGGTGATTCGAACCGGTCATATTGTCAAGATGAAGCTTCTGACCGCAGAACAGAAATTGTCTAAAAATTTCGTGAAAGGGGTTCTTTGACTTCATAACCTTCGATCAGTGACCACTCTGGAGCCCTGACCTAAATCCCATGGATGTCTCAATGTGGTCAGCCTCTGAGATGGAAGCATCCTTCAGCCCAAACATGAGAAGAAATAATCTCGAAAATGCTTAGCAAAAAGCCGGGACCATTTCGATGACCCTAGCTGCGTGCCACCGTCAATGCCGTCCATCGTCGTCTTTGTAGTTGGGTGAAAGCAGAAAGCAACAGATCCAAGTTTCAATGTACAGTTTTGATAAGAAATTTGTGATGAACCCTTTGATGAAATTGGTTTGCTCTATTGGCTTTCTGTTCGATTTCTGCGATGTGATTTCTGTGTAATCATAATTTTGGCCCACCCTGTACATATCTTTTGTCTTGGTCAGCAAAATAATACTATATAGTACTATGTTGTTCCTAAAGATTCCAAAGGAGCAATAGCCTTTTGATTCCGTGGGAATAGACTTACGTATTTGAACACGAAGGTTTTATCGCGGAGCGCGAGTTCAAGCAAGATTGGTTATGCGAAGGCTACGTGACTATGCGAACAGTTGATTCCAGCGAACCTACGTGATAGCTAAGAAAATGGCGGCCGAACTTTGATTCCTGGGGGGAATCCCGCTTATCACGTGGTTTCCAGAACTTCAGGGGCCACCTTGGACATTGTACCCTGAGTGGTATAAGAGGCCCTGCACGTGGGGTCGAGCCTTCTTTTCTTTACTCTTTGGATTTTATTGACCGGTTTGCTCCGTTGTTCCTTGTTTCTAATAAATTATTATTCTACAATTATTCGGACAGAGACCACCTTGATGCGACATCGACAGAACATATATCTAAATAGTCTTATATTATTCAGCTACGGTGTCCGCGTGGCCCATTTTTGTTTGTTTGTATCTGCAGCTTCCATATATCAAGGTAGGGTTTATTTTTCAGCTCTCTGTAATCTTCACGTGTGTCTCCTTTTCCATTTTGATCTCTATTGAGCCGCTGCATTCAAGAAACATGACCAAAACAGCAGAACTTCCTCGAGAAGTTTGAGAAGGAGCCGTGAGAATGGAATAGTTCGGGATGATGGTACCCGAAAAAGCAAGAATCTTGAAAGTCCCACATCGAACCGCCTCTTTGATTCTTCAGCGCTATAAGATCAATCAATCCGTTGGTAACGTCCAGAGAACGGGCAGATCCCAGTGTACAGGTGTCCCAAAAATATTGTCGCCAAAATTCAGAAATTTTCAAGGTAGACGTAATATATCAAATTCACATAACCTGTTACTGAATGGTTGCATAAGAAGGTTCCCTTGCAATATGCATGACTACTGATGTAGGGCTCCCAATATCTTTCAGATGGAGGAGGCTCATTCAATGCCACTTGCAATCATTGACACGCGAGAGGTGGAAGGGCATTATGAAATTTTTTTGGGATTTTTGTAATAACCATACAGGAGGCTATCAAGCGATACAGAAAAATCTCGAATCAGAGACAAACCAGGAAAGGTAGGAAGGTAGAATGTTTCTGAATATGGGAGTATTAAAATGTTCCGTCTGCCAATCGGTCGGGATTCTGGGTGAATCATCAAAAAGAAGTCAACGGGCACGGCTTACAGGAGTTATCGCGATGGAAGAATGTCATGCAGGAGCTTCACTGCCGTTTATCGTATGCAGAGATCTTGCTTCAATTCCGATCTCAACAGATACTGCCGGGCCAAAAATGCAGAAAGTCGAGAGTGATGACACGCAACCCTTCGTCGTTTTTTCTTGTCAAAAAATTTTTCACGATAAAGCCATTCCTCAACAACCAAAACGTTCACGTTCTGAAGAGAAACGTCTAACGTGTAATATCTCACAAAAAGACCAGATATATATCAGAATAGTAAAATGAAGTTTTCCGAGGAAATCACTGGCAAGGGCAAGCCGCTCATGGTTTCTTCGATGCAGGAATGAAAATTGACCAAAATCAGTACTCAAACGGCGTACTGATGGGAATAAATGAAACAATGATCCGACTACGTTTTTTGAAACATCTCGTGGTCCTTCCAGCAGGACGCTCCTCCAGCCCACAGACTTGCTCGCGAGTGGTGCCGGCGACAGCTGCCCGACTTCATTGGTGAAGAGGGATGGTCATCGTATTTTCCAGAACTTGACTCACTTGAACCCACGACTAGTCCCTTGTTAGAAGAGGAACTGTCGAATTTGCGTTCCCAGTTTGGAATCCCGGAATGCAAAGGCTGAAGAATGGCTGGGAAGAATTGAAGGAGGATACCTGCGTGCCACATCGATCAAGTCAAGAGCAAACTTTGACTTCTATCCGCGCTCATGGGGGGTATTTTTAAAGGCGACTGTAGCACGTTGTAGCATGTAGTGTCGGCGTATGAGTACAGCAATAGCAATTGTGGGAAGGCGTATGAGTACAGCAATACTGAACGGCAGGCGTACAGCGAGATAGCCGCTCATTACAGCA